TAAACCGAAATCCTACAATTTCACGTAATAGCAGCTGTCTTCCCCCCGTAATCACACATTGTGTGTGGGTAGTTCACAATGGTTAGTGCACGGGAATGAAAAAAAACAACAAAATGGGTTGATCTTTAAGATCTTCTGCGTTAAGAGGGAAACTGAACCTGTTTTCGAGTCCAAAATGAAAAAACAAAACACGTGATCGACTGTGTATGAGGCCAGATAGCGCCACAAAATATCAAAGGATAATTCTTCACATAATCCTACTCAAGTGGGCTGCTGTTGCAGCTACAAAGCTGTTGATTTTTTTTTTTATTGAGTCAGAGGCAAATACAAAGGGCTCAATCGGAGAAGCACCGAAAGCTTGGCGAGCCCGGCTCTATGCAGACGGGTTAACCGAAAGAAGAAGATCGCATATTTAAAAGCATATCGAGGTGTAAGAGAAACTGCGTCTAGTGTTACAGCCTGTTACCAAGTGAGTCAATCTGTATTGTACGGTAATCCTGATACTAGATGTCGCTACTTTGTAAACACTGAGGCCAGAAGAAGTGAAACGCACGTTGAGTGTGGCGGGTCAGGAAGGGGGGGAGTTCCGACCGCCGGACACATGTGGAACAGTCACAAGCTGCTGTAGCTTCGGCTTGTGACTGTTCGTGATGTTTTCCAGAAGCGGGTAGCTGGCGAACCGATCGGTTTATACCCCAGGCTTCCTCTGCCAACTGAGGCCGACCGGCGAGCGTGGGACGGCGGGGGATTAGGAGGAGGAGGAGGAAGAGCGAGCGGAGGGAGTACGGTACAGCGGCCGGGGAGAGACTCTTCATCTGGGGGTCTGGCGAGGAGCCCGCAGTCGGCAATGCGGAAACGACAGAACTCTGCCATGCAGGCGTCAACCTTTCACCCTAGGTTTGAGAAATTAAAATGACTTTTTTCCCCCCCCGCAGGTCTAAAGGAAAAGGCTCGCATTGCAGCGGTGATAAAAAAAAGAACAAAAGAGTTATTCTTCTAAAATGGCTGGAAGTTAGGAAGGGAACTCCTACTGCAGTTACAGAAGTGAAAAAGAGACCGCTGAGTAGCCCGTCGCAGAATTGTTTATCACTGTGTAGTGTTTCGGGGGACTTGCCCGAATGCTGTGAGAAGATAATTAAAGATTTACTGTTCTAAAAGACTTTAAAATCGATTTAGAAGAAACGTTTCTCATCCTTAACGTTAACGTTTGTCACTCGGTGTATTGTAGTTTGTGTATTGTACTTTGAACAGCCACTTAGCTGTTCTTATTTCACTCAAAGTCAGATATATGTGCAGTTTCCTACATCTAGACGAGTGGTTTGGGCGTTTTAATTGCACGGGAATCAATGCTTTAAAATGTTGGGTTAGAAACAGGGTGCTAGGCGAAGACCTGTGACGGTTTCTACGCTTGTTTCCGGATCCCAGCTCTCTGGTGGCACGATCTGACCTCTTGCCAATAGTCTAGCCAAACTTCACCACAATACAGGAGGACGTCTGTCTAAGACCCTGACTGGGAAGAGTCCAAACACGGGGGAGGGCTGACAGTAGGCAGTGAGCCTGGTTTTTAGAGGGACTGAAAATGCATGGAGGTTGCAGGGACTGAGAAGCCAGGATCTGAGCAGTAGTTCATTCCAGTACAGGTTGTGCAACCTATTTAAAGTAACAGTTGCAATTTATATGCTGTAGCTGGTAACCAAAGCATTGCATAATTAGCAACGTCTCTAGCATTTAGCAATTACTGTGTTTCTAAAGGTCTGAGTAACTGTGCTGCTTGCTGCGGCTTAATATTAATGCATTCTTACTATTCCTGTGCTGGAGTCAATCCACTGGCTGCTGATTGTATTTAGAACCGGGCCAGTGATGTCAGTAAGGCAATAGAAAGGCATTCCTCTTCCTGCCTTGTTACATAGGGGTCGTTTTTTGCAATAGCTGAATTGCTGTTTCAGCTGAAACCCAAAGGTCACGAGAGGGATCTTTGCTTCCCTTGTCTGAAAAGGGATATTAGAAATGAGAACGCTCTTTAAGGGTCTCAGATGGTGAACCCCAACTTATTTTTCCTTTGCGCGCAATGTCTCGACTTCCGCGCAACACGGGCGACGGAAACTGCAGCTGAAACCGAACCCCTCCTGTCTGCCCCACCTGGCAGAAACATCACCGCTGGGGCCAAGAGGCAGCGCCACACACGGCAGCCGCCATCTGGAGACAGCAGGGCTGGGGAACCCGACACCCCAGGACTCTGCCTCCCGCGGAACAGCGCCCAGCCCCAGCAAGGTGCAGAGAGGCCTGTAGAGCAGGAGAGACAGAGGACAAGAAACTCTGTCTGAGGAGAGCAATTAGAAGTTCTCAACTGTCTGAATAATAATAATAATAATAAT